GGGGATGTAAATATGTAAATGAGTTATTAAAATGAGCTGCTGGTGGGCGGGGCCTGGTCTGGTTTGTTGGGGGTTGTGACGTCACTGGGTGGGTTGTGATGTCACAGGGTGATGACGTCATTGGGGTTGCTGACGTCATCGGGGTTGTGACGTCACAGGTTGATGACGTCATGGGTTGTGATGTCACTGGGGTTGTGACGTCATAGGGAGTGATGATGTCACTGGGGGTCGTGACATCACTGGGGGTTGTGACATCACTGAGAGTGGTGACGTCACAGGGCTGTGATGTCACTGGGGTGATGACGTCACGGGGGTTCTGATGTCACCGGATGATGATGTCACTGGGACTGTGACGTCACTGGGTGATGATGTCACTGGGGATTGTGACGTCACAGGGGGTGATGAGTGTGGGGGGTCACACAGAGCACGTGGGGGGGGAACATGGAACATGTGAAGCTCATGGGATGTGGGGAACATGGGATGGGGGAACATGGATCATAGAACATGGGATGGGTGGAGAACATGGAACATGTGAAGCTCATGGAACATGGGATGGGGGAACATGGAACATGTGAAGCACATGGAACATGGGATGGGTGGATCATAGAACATGTGGATCACATGGAATATGGGATGGGGAACATGGGATGTGGGGTGGATGGATCACATGGATCATGGGATGGGGGAACATGGAACATGTGAAGCACATGGAACATGGGATGGGTGGATCGTAGAACATGTGGATCACATGGAATATGGGATGGGGAACATGGGATGTGGGGAACATGGATCACATGGATCATGGGATGGGTGAACATGGAACATGTGAAGCACATGGGATGTGGGGAACATGTATCATAGAACATGGGATGGGTGGATCATAGAACATGTGGATCACATTGAATATGGGATGGGGAACATGGAACATGTGAAGCTCATGGATCATGGGATGGGTGAACATGGGATAACGTGAAGCTCATGGATCATAGAACATGTGGATCACATGGAATATGGGATGGGGAACATGGGATGTGGGGAACATGGATCACATGGATCATGGGATGGGGGAACATGTGAAGCACATGGAACATGGGATGGGTGGATCATAGAACATGTGGATCACATGGAACATGGATCATGGGACGGGGGAACATGTGAAGCACATGGGATGTGGGGAACATGGATCATAGAACATGGGATGGGTGGGGAACATGGAACATGTGAAGCTCATGGATCATGGAACGTGTGGAACAGGTGGGAGAGACGGATCCGGGGGGACTGGGAACAACTGGGGATACTGGGAGGGACTGGGATGTGGGGAACGCTGGGAATGGCGGGAACGCGGGGCAGGAGCTGCTGTTCCCATCGAGGTTCATTAATTAGCGCGTCTAATTAGCGGCTCATTAGGTCACGATGGGGGGTGGAGGTGACGAAGGCATCATTAAGGTCCGGGGGGGGGCTCGGGGTTCATTAGCGCGCTAATTAATGATGGCACTAATTAATGATGGCGCTAATTAGAGGGTGAAGTGATTAGAGCAGGAGTTAATTAGAGCGGGAGTTAATTAAAGGGGCGATGATTGATTTGAGGGAAATCGATGGGGGGGGGGAGGGGAGTTAATGAGCAGCTTTAATTAGCGGATTAATTAGTGGGTTGGAAGTTTGATCCCGTCAGTAAAATGGGGGGAAAAATCTGCATCAAATCGGGGTCAAATTTGCAGGAAAATGGGAAAAAATCTATAAAAATGGAGGTAAAAGGTGTAAAAATTGGTGTAAATGGAGATAAAATCGGTGTTAAAATTGATGTAAAATCTGGGTTAAAATTGATATAAAATCCGGGTTAAAATTGATTAAAAATCTGGTTTAAATTGATATAAAATCTGTATTAAAATTGATATAAAATCTGCATTAAAGTCGATTAAAATGATATCAAATCGAGATAAAATTGGTGTAAAAATCGAGATAAAATGTGTATAAAAATCTCTATTAAATCAGTGTCAAATCTGCATTAAAATGTGTTAAAATCGCCATAAAAATTAAGGTAAAAGGTGTAAAAATCGGTGAAAATGGAGATAAAATCGGTGTTAAAATTGGTATAAAATCTGGGTTAAAATTGATATAAAATCTGCATTAAATTGATATAAAATCTGCATTAAAGTCAATAAAAATGAGATAAAATCGGTGCTAAAATTGATATAAAATCTGTATTTAAATTGATATCAAATCTGTTAAAATCGATTAAAATCTACATTAAATCTGAATCAAAATCAACATAAAATCTGTATCAAAATCGACATAAAATCTACATCAAAATCTCTATAAAATCTGCATTTAAATCTGTATTTGAATCTATAAAATCTGCATTTAAATCTCTATAAAATCCAGGTAAAATCAGTTTAAAATCAGTTTAAAATCTGGTTAAAATCCATATAAATTCAAATTAAAATCTGTATTAAAATCTACATAAAATATATTAAAATCTACATTAAATCTCTATTAAAATCTACATTAAATCTCTATTAAAATCTACATAAAATCTCTATTAAAATCTACTTTAAATCTACTTAAAATCTGTATAAAATCTGTATAAAATCTGAATAAAATCTATTTAAAATCTATTTAAAATCTATATAAAATCTCTATAAAATCTCTATAAAATCTCTATAAAATCTACCCAAAATCTAAATTTAAATCTGCATAAAATCTGCATAAAATCTGCATTTAAATCAGTATAAAAATCAATCAAATCCACCCAAAATGTGTCTAAAATTCGATTTCAATTTCATTTATGAAATTAAATTGATTTTTTAGATCCATTTTCATTTCTCTTTTAATGGATGAAATGAAATGTAAATTGAATCTATTAAATCTGTATTAAAATGTGTCTAAAATCTCTATTAAATCTCTATTAAAATCTCTCTAAATCCCACAACAATCTCATATATTAATAGAATTTAATTAATAAAATAGAATATAATTAATTTAATAGATATATATTATATATAATTAAGATATAATTGATATAATTAATATAATAATGTCATATATTATAATTTATCCACTTTGTAAGGTGTAATTAAACACAATAATAGATAAGAAACGTATTATTTCTAATATCTCTCCTGTATTTAATATCTAATAAGTTACAATTTCTC